CAGAGGGGCCTGTGCAGCTGTGGCAGGGCTGGGGCCGTGTACTCCACAGCAGAGGGGCCTGTGGCAGCTACAAGGCCAAGGGGACACATGTGGCACAGGGCGCGTAGAGCAGGGCACAGCCCAGCGCCAGGCCTAACCTGTCCACCCATGCCTCCCACTTGGCTGGCCCCTCTGCCGCCTGCCTACTCATGGCTACTGGGGAGGGATGGCCCAGCACACGCCTGCCCAGATTACTGAAGGGCATGGTATCCACCTCACAGGTCATGGCAGCCCGAGCATAGTGTGAGCTAATGTGGAATGAAGCTCAATTTGCATGAGCAAATCACTGCCGAAATGTACCCTGGCAGCCCATGCCCTGCAGAAGGCTATGCCAGACCCTGAGCCCCCACCTTGGGGCTGCTTGCCCTTGGCTCTGCAGGGATGTAGGCGTGGCTGGCAGCTTCAGGGAGATGCCTCTGGAGTACAGCTCAGGCCCCTCCTGTCTTGCTCTGTCCCCGGGCTTCCCCAGGAGCTGTGGGGTATCTGGCAGGAGTGGGGGCTGGCAGGGCTCAGGGTCCATTGGCCTCGGTCTCCTCCTCTAACTGGGGTCATTGGCTCAGCTAATTCCAGGGACCATTCCGGCCTCTTCAGCCCTTGGACTTGAGGCAACACCAGTGTTTCTGCAAACAGCCTGCCTGGCTGGGGGTCTGTGAGGCTGCCTCTGTGCACGCTCAGTGCAGGGCTCTCTGAGCTGTGGGTGAAGGGGAGGCAGGACAGGTGGAGGGGAGGAGAGGCAGGGCAGCCTGCTGACCCTATGGTGTCTGTGGTCCTGAAGGCCAGGATGGCATGCGCCAGGGCCTCGTTGGTAGAAACAGCCCCAGACTTGAAGCAGACTCAAGGGGAGCCTCAGCCCAGGTGCCAAGGGCCATTTGTGCTTCTCATCAACATGTGGACACCTTGCAGCCCCTCTGCCCTGCAGCCCCAGGGACCCTTATCCCACAGTGCACAGCCAGATGGTCAGGGCCCAGGGTAGTTACATCCACGGGAGAGGTGTGCACTGGAGGAGGATGCTGCTCCCTCACCGTGGCTCTTAAGGGCTCATGAGTTCCCAACCTCATGAGTGGGGTTGGGGGCACTATCTCCTGGGACTCCTTGTCAGCATTCCCTGATGACAGCCAAAATGTCCTTGATGTGGGGGTTGGGGACCAGAGGGGGACAGAGGTCTCTTGGCAGCTGGGCTGATGGCCTGTGGTTGCCCAGCTGCGAAGGTTGGGGGTGGGTGGGGGACAGAGGTCTCTTGGCAGCTGGGCCAGTGGCTCGTGGTCGCCCCAGCTGCAGTGTGTACCCACTGTGAGTGCTGCTGTCCCCCTTGGGAGGCCGGCCTGGGCTTGGCCCCTGGCACTGACCTCCAGAGCTGTAGTCTGCCTTGGGGGCGAGGTTTGACGGGCGTTTCCTGTCTCTGCAGGTCCCTGGTGCTGAACCGCCTGCGTCCAGTTGCCAGCGGGGGTGGGAAAGCACAACCAGGCTCCCCTCGGTGGCGGAGCAGAGGCTACCGCTGCATCGGAGGGGTCCTCTACAAAGTGTCTGCCAACAAGCTCTCCAAGACCTCCGGCCAGCCTGGTGATGCCGGCAGCAGGCCCCTCCTCCGCACAGGTGAGAGGTGGGGTGGGGGCGCTGGGGGATGACACCGTCCAACCAGTGTGTGGTGGGCACTGCAGGCCAGACCCCTAACCTCCGACATGCCATGGCTACTCCAGGCCTTGGCTCAGGCCCCTGTCTTGGGGAGGTGGTCAGGAGCCTCATGCTTCCCGGGAGCCAGTCCAAACAGGCATCCCCAAATGGGTCACGTCCCAGCCTGGGAGTTAATTTCACTCTTCATACACCCAGCGCCTTCATAGCCATCCCTAGTGAGAGGGACAGGGCAGCCGGAGATTGGAGGGTGCCAGGAGGCCTTTCTCTGCCATCCCCCAGGAAGGGCCCTGGAATGGCGACCGGCTCGCCTGGCTGAGCGGCCCCTGATTTTCCGTGGGGTGGGGGAGGGTTGCTCACTAGCGCCGTGTTTCACTTTTGGACAAAGGATGAGGCCAGGTACGGTAAACACGCCCGGGCGAGTGCACACCTGGGGCGCGGTGCCCATAATCACATTGGCAACGCCTCGACAACTGTGTCTGGAGGCAGCTGGCGCCGCCGCCTCGCACCCTCCCAGCCCAGGGAAACAGGCTCAGGAGAAGGAAATGCTTTGGATTCACTTATCCTACAAATTAACTAGAAAAATATTTTGGTTTCAGTCCAATTTTACCCCTTCTTGTCCATAAAAAAAAAAAAAAACGTGGGGAGATTGCAAGTGGTGTTGAGGTTGCGGAGGCTGGGCGGTGCCAGCTCCCCAACCCACCTGGGGCCTGGAGGGAGGACGGGTTCAGCACCTGGAGGAGGTAGACTCCAAGGGCAGGGTCTGCGGGGGTCAGAGGAGAGGCAAGGAGCATCTCTCCCTGGAAGCCAGCCCTGTGCCAGGCCCTGAGCCCCCACCTTGGGGCTGCTTGCCCATGGCTCTGCAGGGCTGTAGGTGTGGCTGACAGCTTCAGGGAGATGGCTGCCCTGCCTCCCTGGAAGCCAGCCTCACGGGCTGCCAGGATGCTCTGCTCCTAGCGTCCATCTCTGGGCTCTAGGGGCTTCCGGGCTGTTTCCCAGGCAGGGTCGCTGGGCACGTGTTCCCAAGGAGCAGCACGGGGGCCCTGGCACCTGCCTCACAGGGCTCTCCAAGCCACACTGGCTGGCCAGTGCCTGTGCCCATGCCTGTAGTTGATGGCCGGTGCTGGGGGGCCCAGTGAAATGAGCAGGAATAAGCCCCCGCTCGCTGAGCATCTGGTGAAAAGCCCTGGGTCCCCACCTAGGCATTGTGTGACCCCTGCATGTGCCTTGAGGGACTAGGCCATGTGATCTGTGCACGTGGCCTCATCTCTTCTTCACCCTGGTGATCAGTGCAGCAGCTGGCCCAGAACATGGGGGCCTTGGTGAGGCTCTGCCTCTGGGGGATGCTGCCATGGGTCGGGGGACAGGTCCTCCTGTCACCCAGCAAGGCCTGCTCTGGGTACCTGTGACCCCAGAACTTGGTGGTCCCTGGGGCTCTACACACAGCCGTTGGTATCATGGAGGGCAGCAGCCTCAGGTTCCTCTCCAGCAGGCGCCTCCCTGAGTGAACAGAAGCCCATGCCCAGTCTCTTGCACGGCAGGTCCCAGCTGCCTGTGGCATCCAGCAGCCACTAGCCATATGGCCCACAGGGAGCCTGAGCAGAGGAGCTCCTTGGGCCGGCAGCAGGTGCTCTGAAGACACTGTGCTTGGCCCCCTGGGATGAAGCCAAGAGGTGGCCTCTCTCTGCTCATGCCGGCTGGTCCCACCTTCCCCCGGGGCTGCTTGCCCACGGCTCTGGAAGCCAGCCTCACTGCTTGGCAGAGGCCAAGCCCCACGTTAGCTGGCGTGGTCCTGAGTGCACTGACCCTGCAGGTGCAGTCCCCGCACTGGCTTTCCGCTCTGGTCCTGGAGGCAGTGGGCAGAGCAGCTGGGCTGATCCCTCTACCCACGGAAGGGCACCCCAAGCCCTCACCTGCCTGCCTGGGTGGGAGGGTGCCCTGAACCTTCCACAGATGCTGCCTCTGATGTCCTAGTGCAGGGGGGGTACAGGCCGAACACGAGTGAGGATTTCTGGGGTCCAGAGGTGTAAGTACACAGACTTGTGTCCAGTCAGGCGGTCAGGGAGGCTTTTCTCATGAACTAAAACCTGAGAGGAGGCCAGGAGGGATGGGAGCAGCAAGCACATCCCCAGGCGGCCATGTGGAGGCCTGGGCGGGAGCGTGCAGGGCATTACCAGGCATCGCCGGACCCTGTGCACAGCCGGCGGGGCGGGGTCATCTGCCTGGTACCACTGCACCCCATTCAGAAAGCTCCTGGTAGTAATGATGATAGTACTGACTGAGGTTGCTGGTTAAGGGCCAAGACAGCAGCCATGGAGACCATGATGTCCTGATGTCCCCGAGAGCCCCAGGTGGCCAGGACAGGCAGTCAGTCGGTAGGCCCTGCCCTGCTCTGTAAAAGCTGGAGTTTGGGAGGGGATGCCCACTGTCCTTTCTAGAGCCAGAGCCCATTCCAGGGACCCACCCACTCAGGGAGCGGCCCCCACGGCAGCAGCCACTTCCCACTCCCTGCACAGTGCCAAGGCTGGCCCCGCCTCTTCGCACCGGGTCGGTTGTGTCCTTGGGACTCTCTCCCCATCTTCAGGCTCACACATCATGTACTTGTGGGACCCACGGAGGGGCTTGTGGCTTGGGTCCGTCTCAGCCCTCAGCGGGGTCCTTGGGTTGTCTCAGCCCTCGCTGGGATCCTGCAGCCCATGTGTGTTGGGCTGGGTAGGCCTGTGGGGGAAGGTGTACCTGGTGGCCCGGCTCCTCCCATCCCTCAGCGTCCACGAGACGCCTGTGGCAGACAGCAGGCAGGTGGCAGGCTTGCACTTGGCCCCCCTAAACACGGTGCCCACCACTCGGACGGTGCAGGGTCTGAGCTCTGGGAAGGAGGGAGTGTATGGCGGGCCGCTCAGCAGTGGGGAGGAGAGGGAGGGGCCGCCACACTCCTCCCTGGGAGGCTGCGGCGCTGCTGCGGCGTCTCCCCTCCAGTGCCAAGTGCTGAGCTCCGCAGAATCTCGCCTTCCCGTTTACACACATGGCAGAGTCCCGGCGGGCGCAGAGCCCCTGACATCAGAGAGCCCTGGTCCCCCTAGCCCTTCTGGGCCCATCTCACCCCTGCACTAGCAGCAACCCAGAGCTCCCTTGGTCAGCTTCAGCAATGCAAGCAAGGAGGACCTGGTGCACTGAGGCCGGTGTCAGCTAGGGTGGGCAGTGGTCCCGGGGCCTCCTTGTTCCCACCTCTGTCCCTGGGAAGGTCTCACCTGCTGTCAGGTAGGGCTAGGGCTGCCAGTGTCCTGCCGGCCAGCCTTGGTGGCGACTGTGGCAGTCCTGAGGCTGTGCAGCACCCAGGGAGCCCATACCTGCCCTTTGGGTTGGCAGGCAAAGCCACTGCTCCAGCTGCCTGGGCCCCCACCAGTCCCGCCTCACCGTGAGGAAGGTAGATGGCTCCCGGCTGTGGGATACCGCTGATTGGCCCACTTAAAGGAATAATAGTTAAAGAAATAAACTTTCTACTCTAGTGTCAGCGGAAATTTGACTTCAACAAAAAAGTGTAGCCTTCTTGGAAGGGGTGGGGGTGCTGTCCTGGCTGACCCCCGGGCTCTGGGCCCCTGATGGCAGAGGATAGCGTGGCTTCTACCCTAGCTTCCCTACTCCCTGAAGCCCAGCCCTTCCTCCTGGTCTGCCTGCCACCTGAAGGGCTGAGCTCCAGGGCCCCTCCCTACATACTCCGGTGTGAGTACCCAATGGGCAGGGCCCATGTGTGGCCACCAAGAGCCTGATGGTTCCTGTGGGGGGGCTGTCTCAGGCCACAGGCCTGGCTTTGGCTGGTTCTGTGTCCCCAAAACCCCCAGGCCAGAGTGAGGCACCTGTGGCTGTGGCCCTCTCTGCTGCTGGCCAGCTGCTCAGTGTTCCTGGCACATGGGGCCTCTGTGCACCTCTGCACACCTCTACACCTCCCCTGCTCGTCACCTGCCCAACCTCCCTGGGATGATGAGGAAGGCCCTATCCGACCTCCCTGGGATG